CGCCGCTGCCGCGGGCCCGAGCTCGCCCGGGCCCTTGAGCATGGCGAGCGCACCGCACTGCCGCTGGAAAGACACCACGAGCCGCACCACCAGCGCCCGCAGCTGCGCCGCCAGCGCGGCCGAGCCCGGGTTCAGCAGCAGCACCAGCCCCTCCGCGCCGCCGCCGCCGCCGCTCCCGCCGCCGCCGCCGGCGGGGCCGCGCGCTGCCGCCGCCGTGCCGAGCTCGAGCTCTATGGGAGACGAAGCCCCGCTGTCCGCGCCTGCGGCGAGCGCGCCTGCGGCGGCGCCCCCGCCCCCCGCTGCCGCCAAGTCCGAGAGGCTCCCGGCGCGCCGCAGCGCCGCGAGCGCGGGGCCGACCACGGACGGCGCCATCAGCGCCGCCAGGTCGGCGAGAAGCTTCCCGGCCAGCTCCTGCGGGCGGTGATGTTGCGTTGCCGATGGTTGGTGGTCGGGGACGCCGTGAGTCGTCCTGTGCAAATAGCACCGGTGTGTTGATACCCGAGGCGCCCCGCTTGCCTCGCTCACAGGCCTGGGGCAAACACCCACTGCTTTGCGCAACCCTTACCAATCACATGAGGCCCGCTCGTCCGAGCCTGTCACCCAAAACCGCCCCAGCGTTGTGCTTATGCCCCGTATGCTCGCTGCCCCTTTCATCGCCCCCAAGCGCCCTCGGACCGGGCCGCCATATCTTCCCAATCGCGCGCACCTGCACTGCCGACGGCTGCTCCCGCGCGTCCATCAGCAGAGACACCTCAGCAATCACGCCCCCCAAGAACCCCCGCGCCTCCCTCGGGGGCCGGAACGCCGACGCAAACGCACGCGCGCTGCCGCCGCCGCGCCGGGCGTCCCAGCCGCGGCCGCCGGCGAAGCACGGCGCGCCCGCCGGCGGCGCGTCTGCGGCGCCGGCTTGCCGCAGGGTGGTGAGTTTGTCGTGGTCGGGCTCGTACGTGCGGATGGAGGCGACAGCCTGCTCAAACAGCCGCAGCCGCTTGAGCTCGAGCAGCAGCGGCGCGCCCGCGCCGCCGCCAGGCACGGCCAGCAGCGCAGCGAAGAGCGCCCGCAGGCCGCGCTCCGCCGCGGCCGCCGCGGGGTCTGATGACACGCCGCCGCCGCCGCCGCCGCCGCCGCCGCCGTCCCCATCCTCGTCGTCCCCCTCGCCATTCAACCCCGCACCCGCGGCCTCGGCGGCGGCGCCGGCGGGCGGCATCAGGTGATCCAATGCGAACCGCGTGGCGGCCGCCCAGGACGCCGCCATCTCCAGGCTGCAGCCCCTGAGCCCGTCCCGCACCAGCGCGACCGCCCACTCGCCGCCGCCGCTGCCCCCACCCTCGCCGCTGGCACCGCCGGCTGCACTAATGTCGGCGCCGCCGTCGACCTCCATGGAAGTGCTGGCGGGGCCGGTGGCCGCGGGGAGCAGGAACGGCGCGCCGGACGCGAGCAGGCCCGCGGCGGCCTCCGCGACTGTCGCATGCTCCGCCTTCTCCGCGGGCCCCGCCGGCTGCGTGTGTGCCGCCAGGCGGCGCGTCAGCGGGCCGCGCAGCGCGGCGAGCGTGGCGGCGGGGCAGAGGGCCGCGAGCAGCTGCACGAGGCGCGCGTGGGAAGGCTCGAACAGTCCGTCGCGCACGGCTGAGGGGCGCGTGCCGTCGCGGGGCCACTTGATGCCCCTGCGGGCCGGGTGGGGATGTGGGGCAGGTCTAGCGTCAAAGAGGTGGCGCTGATTTAGGCCCTTCCCAGAGGGTTTGCCTCAAAGTCAAGCCGTGCTGACTTGGCCCACCAATGACTGTCAGAACGCTGCCTGGTCCAGATGCAGGGGCACACCGAACACCGCACACTGCGGCCAGAGGCAAGAGGTTCAGGAACACAAAGGCTAACGCTCAAGCCAGAGGGCAAAAAGGCGCTCACTTCTCTAGGAGGCTGGATACCGTGAACCACAGCAGCTGCGGCGGATAAACAGCGGAAACGAGGGGGGCGGTATGAGAGGCAGCGATATGGCAGCACACCAATCTTCAAACCCCACAAAGGCCGTTCCTGGTGCTGCTGGCTCCAAACAAGCGCTCCCACGACGCCCATCTGCGACCCCAACCGCAGCCCTGCTCCTGCTGCACGAGCACCCGGAGCCCCACCCCCGCCCCCGGTGTCACCTCCTCAAAGCCCATGTTCATGAGAGCAGACATGAGGCCTCCGCCCCCGCCCCCGCCGCCGCGCTGCCCCTTGGCAGCCTCCACCTTTGGGTAAGAAGGGCACGCGGTGAAGGGATGTTGTAAGAAAAACATCGCATCTCGCACATGCATGTGTGCGCGCGTGCGCGTGCACACACACACACACACACACACACACACACACACACACACCCTTTCTCTCTTTTTCTCTCTTGACGAAGCACAAGTACACACACACCTGAAGACACACACATAGGCAAACACACGCGCACACGCGTGCGCGCGAGCACACACACACACAAACACACACACACACACACACACACACACACACACACACACAAACATATACACTCACACAGCCCTGGCACCCACCTGGTCCAGCCGCGAGTGCCCCAGCACCAGCAGCTTCACCAGCGCCTCACCAAACCCAGGGTCGTCCAGGCGCTGAGGTGGACAGAGGCGGGGGTGGGAAAAACGATGGGTGTTGTGAAAATTATTGTCTCAGGCAGTGACGGTGGGGCAGCGTGGCGCCCAAGCTGGCGGACGAGCATGCAAGATGGGATGCCATCCAGGCTGAGCAAGGCAGTGCAAGTTGTGGTGCTGCCCTGCTGAGTAAGCCGTGTTTGCCTGTACGAGCACTGAAGCGCCCATCTCTTCAACAAACCCGAGTGCTGCATATGCAGCTGCGGCTGCAGGCGTGCGGCTGGCGTCGAGCGCGACGAGCGTCAGCCCGTTGCGTGCATGGCAGCCCACCTCTCGCAAGAAGTCCTGCAGCTGCTGCTTTGCCTCGCCGCCCTGCTGCAGGGCCGCCATGATCTGGGTTCAAAGCGGAGGGTGGGGCGGGCGTGAGAATGGGGTGGGGG